CCGTTCTTAGCCTTTCATTCATGCTTCTTGACCTTTCGCATGTGCTGGTCTATCTTACAGGGGTGTCACTTAGCATTGTCTTCGATGCTCTCACCTGCGATGTTGCGTATTCTTTATTATACAATGTGACCACTTTTACAGAAAACCTAGAACTGGCCCTAACCCCTACATCCCACGAGAGAGTGCAGCCTACGTCCCATATCACGTTTTATTTCTTCGATGCTATCACCGGCAATATCCTGTGTTCTATATTACACGATCTGACCGCTTTTAACGATCCCACTACATCTATAACTGGCCCTAACCCCAACCTCCCTACCCTACAGCCTACATCCAGCGGTTTCAGAATTGTTAACATTTTCCGCTGCACCCTAAAAAGCCATCTTGCTGCGGAAAAGCAATGTTGCTCTCCTTGTCGCTTATCAACGCTGAAAGCTGAAGTAATTTCATGCCCTCCTTGAAGTCTGAGGAAAGCTGCGATATACGCAATGTCGCTGGCCACTCGCAATAATGAGTGAAAACAATGTTTAAATCGCCGCTCACATGAAGCGCTATATAGAAAGCTGTTCGTAAAGACAAAACATGGTCTGACACCCCTGTAGCATAGACTAGCACATGGAAAAGGTCATCAAGCATGAATGAAAGGCCAACCACAGTTTGTTTAGGGCGGAAAAAGTAACAAGTTCCACCCTGAGTCCTAAATTGGTTAACTGCCACAGCTTTAGAAGTTTGTAGACAATTGTTCATAAGCCATCTCTTATTATATATTTATGTTCATGTCATTTCATTAAGAAATATCCTAATTTGTTTATGATTTTTTACAGCAACAGAAAAGTTAAATGTTTCTACTTTTTGGGGTTAAAACCCACTTTACTATTTATGCCTTTTCTTCTTCTTTTTTGTGTGTGTGTTGAAAAATAAAAATAAATTAACCCTTTACTATTATCTTAACAATTTGTAGATTCCCTATTGAAAACAACAACAGACTATTTGCTATTGTCTTTACAGTTTATAGATTTACCGTACACATATAGATTATATAAATTAAAATGTCACGTATTTATCAGTGTTGAAAGTTTCCTTTCTCTTCTAGATAGTTAACACAATGGGTCAGTGTTTCCGATTTAAATTTATCTATGATACTATTTACCCCCCCCCCCCCCCCCCCCCCCAAAAGCTCCTTAACTTTAGAAGAACATTTTGAAAAGATATCAAACCAAATGAAAAGTAGAACAAGCCAACTTCACGTTAACACAGATAACAAGTGAATGTCACAGCTAGAAAGCCTTCATCAGCACATCCATAAATCTACATTGAACAAGAATACATAAAAATCACTTAACCAATGAATCTTAACTTTAGAATGCGATCCTTTCATGATTCTAATATTGTTATAAATTTTAATAAGTTCTTCAGTGTGATATTAACTCTTTCAGTTCCAAGGAACACATCATATGTTCATGGGTTCCCACCTAGAAACCCAGTGATGCAGGATGCCTCAATTTTACATCTCTGTTTTCTACCCCTTTGGCCTCTGGTGCCAGACCCCTGAGGCGAAAGAGTTGAAAGGACTATGTTCACATCATTAGAACCTCTGGCATATAATGAAGTAAAGGACCCCTTTCCACACCTTTAGGGAATATAGGGCTAGACCTATACCTACTTTCTAGACCAATCAATAATCTGTGCATAATGCGGTCAACGTCATGCTGGCCACCTTAACTACCAAGGACTTTATCTGGTATCCATTTATGGCCCGGTCAAAATGGCAGCCAAGGTTGTTTTTGAAAAGAGGCAGACTCAGGGCATTTTTATAATAGACCAGCACTTTATGGGTCATCTGGTCAGCATCCTGCCAGCTACTTTTGCCTCCCTGACCATTACCTGATATCCGTTTTAGGCTGGGCTGACCTAGGAGCCAGGGTCGATTTGAACAAATGGATTTGAACCCAAGACTTTAGGGCCATCAGGTGAGTTATCTGGTCACTTACTCTGCTTGTGCAGCACTCCGAAACTATGAATGAGAGAAGAGGATAAGAGACGGAGACGAATTGTATGCGAAGGACAAGGGTAGGGTCTGCATGATGGCTACAGGTAGGTAGCTTGGTAAGAGCTACAGGCCTTTTGCTTCAGACGGGTGTAAAGGGCAGAGGAGGAACACTGCTGCTTAAACACTTGATTGATAGACAGTTTTTTTTCACATTCTGTCTCTCTCTATCTTTCTCTCTCTCTCTCAATCTCTCTTTCTCTCTCCTCTCTCTCTCCTCTTTCTCTCTCCTCTCTCTCTCCTCTCTCTTTCTCTCTCCTCTCTCTTTCTCTCTCCTCTCTCTCTTTTTTTCCTCTTCTCTCTCTCTTCTCTCTCTCTCTTCTCTCTCTCTCTCTCACTCTCTCTCTCTGCTCTCTCTCTCTCTCTCTCTCTCTCTCTGAGACACATTTCCAGGACGAAAAATTACAGTTAAAACAAAAATATGACATTTCACATTAATTTAATAGTATATTAAACACTAAAAAAAAAATCTAATTCTACAAAAAAATATGCACATCTGCCATTTATATTTTTATTGACATTTCTTGATAATAAAATATATGCAGTCACAGTATATCAGTGCTAATTAGTAGATCCTGTGCACAGATCAACATGCCACTGTTTACACCAGCATTGATAGGCACCAAATAGCCAGTTGTTGTGTTTTCTTTAGAGTAGTGTTGCATGCCTTCTGCTTTTCTTGTTGCTGGCTTTGGGCTTTTTGTGTAAACAGTCTTGCATGCCTACTGCTGTTTGTATTGCTTGCTTACAGCCCTGCACAATGTACAGTTTTACTGGCATTTATTTAGTTGCGGGTTTTGCTTGCGTTTATTCATATTGTTAACAGTAGTTGTAATTTAATGTTACTTTTTTTCTTCTTTCTCTTTTTCAGTTAATGTTTTTGAGCTTTCCTGTTAAACTTGTTTCATATAACATTTGTGCAGTTATGTCTTTGAGCTTTCCTTTTAATTTATTTAAGATATCAGTTATGTTTTAGGCTTTTCTGTTAAATTGAGTAGAGGTAACATTTAAACATTTGGGTTAAAAAAAATTATATCTACGATCTAGAAGAGTTTGTACATGGTGTGTTCACACTTTGACTTTAGGAGTGTGTGTATGTATTTACCTGTTAACAATGAGCATACATTTACATGTTAAAAGTGTGTATACATTTACATGTTAGATGTGAGCGTACATTCACATGTTAAAATTGTCTGTACATTTACATGTTAGATGTGAGCGTACATTCGCATGTTAAAATTGTCTGTACATTTACATGTTAGATGTGAACGTACATTCGCATGTTAAAATTGTCTGTATATTTACATGTTAGATGTGAGCATACATTCACATGTTACAATTGTCTGTATATTTACATGTTAGATGTGAGCATACATTCACATGTTAAAATTGTCTGTACATTAACATTTTAGATGTGAGCGTACATTCACATGTTACAATTGTCTGTATATTTACATGTTAGATGTGAGCGTACATTCGCATGTTTAAATTGTCTGTATATTTACATGTTAGATGTGAGCTTACATTCACATGTTAAAATTGTCTGTATATTTACATGTTAGATGTGAGCATACATTCACATGTTAAAATTGTCTGTATATTTACATGTTAGATGTGAGCGTACATTCGCATGTTAAAATTGTCTGTATATTTACATGTTAGATGTGAGCGTACATTCACATGTTAAAATTGTCTGTATATTTACATGTTAGATGTGAGCTTACATTCACATGTTAAAATTGTCTGTATATTTACATGTTAGATGTGAGCATACATTCACATGTTAAAATTGTCTGTACATTTACATGTTAGATGTGAGCGTACATTCACATGTTAAAATTGTCTGTATATTTACATGTTAGATGTGAGCGTACATTCACATGTTAAAATTGTCTGTACGAACATTCATGTTAAAAGTGTGTGTACTTTCACATGTTAAAAGTGTGTGTACATTTACATATTTGCAGTGAGTGTAAATTTCCATGTGTACAAAGGGTGTTTACATGTTAGGCATGTCTGTGTACATTTACATGTTAGAAGTATGCTTGTACATAATGTGTTTACGTTTACACATCAGTCGGCATTGCCGAAGGTTAAAAATGGACTGATGTGGCATGAGTGGAAATATGCCTGGCAATAAACTGTGCCATGTTTTGTTTTTCTCCGCATTATTTAAAGAAACAGATTCCTTGTAGTATGTCATCTATATATATGTGTATTAAGTAATGAACAAAAGACAAAACACAAGTTTTTACCAATGACCAGCAGACACAAGGACATTTACTATGTATATCAGCTGAGGCGTCTGTATTAAGCTTCGTATTAAGAAAGGGTCATTGAACTCTGTACATTTATACTTTGTTACTTTTCCATGACTGACAGATGTCCGACAATAAAATTATAAATTGTCTGTACATTAATTACATTGTTGATGTCTAGATATGTACATGGTCACACCCGAACCCCAGAGTGTGTCAGACTAGAATCACATTAAAAGCAGGTATTTTATGGCTAGCAGTTTTCTTCTTGTATATAGTCTTTGCCGTGTGGCGTTGATAATCATGTCTTATCTACAGCCATGTGTCCTTTTTTTAAAAAAAATAGTCATTTCTGATACATGATCATCCAAGCTGTGGTGTTGTTCTGCTATGCACAATTCTCTCTCTTGTTTAATATCTTCTCTCTGCTACCTATATCCCCCCTCCCCATAAATCTGTGTGTGTATATGTGCGTGCGCATATGCACACTCACATAATAGCCAGACACATGCTTTTTTATAGAGAGTTAAAACTGGATTGGATTGGACAGAAGTAGAAACAAAATATCATTTACTGAGTAACCAGTAAAGTTCAGTTTATTGCTTGGTGTAGAATGAGTTAGGTTTTCTTGAACTATGACACTTCTTGTTATCTTTGTAATTTTCTACAACCAACTTTGTGTTGCTGTGAATCAGTGCCAGCAGGTGATCCAGACAAGTCTACAGGTGGCCCGCGCTCTGCTCAACGATGTGGATCTGCACATCATGATGTTCCGGGAGTTTGGTAAGGGCTTTGTCAAGACATGCAGGGTCAGCCCAGATGCTTTCATACAGACAGCTGCAGCTAAGAACTACCGGGTCATTGTCTGTTTTTGTTGACACACACTTTACACACACTTTTCCACGCACACACAGAGAGAGAGACAATAAGAGATATAAAGACATTCTGTATATTAACAGGGTATGTGTTTCTTGTCATTCGATCATTGTTTGACATGATAAAGATGGTCACACCCGAGGCACCACAGAGACACCATACACACACACACACACGCACATACACACGCACACACACACACACATGAGAGAGAGAGAGAGATGGTATATCACAGGGTATGTGTTTCTTATCTTTTGATCATTGTTTGACATACCCACAAACAGATGACATATCACAGGGTTTGTGTTTCTGGTCTGTTGTTGTTTCAAACACATTTCTGATATACACACAACACACACACACACACATGAGAGATCCAAGCTGAGATGGTATGCTATGCAGGGTATTCTTTCTTGTTTAGATCTTCTCTCTGACTACCCACAAACAGATGACATATCACAGGGTTTGTGTTTCTGTCTGTTATGTGCATGCGCACATGCACAGACACATAATAGCCATACACACACGCTTTTCTTACAGAGAGTTAAAAGATTGGATTGGACACAGGGTATGTGTGTTTCAAATCTTTTGATCTGACATGAGTAACAGATACAGTCACAGGTTTATTGCTTGGTTTTGATGATTGTTTGACATACCCTTGAACAGATGACATATCACTTGTTATGTGTTTCTACAACCAACTTTGTTTGCCCACAAACAGATGCATATCACAGGGTGATCCAGATCAAGTCTACAGGTGGCCCGCGCTCTGCTCAACGATGTGACATATCACAGGGTATGTGTTTCTTATCTTTTGGATCAGGGTTTGACATCAAGACATGACGGGTCAGGGCCCAGATGCTTTCATACATCATTGTTTGACATACCAGCTGACAGATACTATGACAGGGTATGTGTTTCTTGTCTTTTGGTTGTTGACACACACACGCACAAACAGCACACACACACGTCTGTTGGTTGTCACACCCACACAGGGAGAGAGAGAGAGATATGAGAGACTTAGAGATGGTATATCATTTCAGGGTATGTTTGATTTCTTGTCATTTGCAGGGACTGCTTTGACACTGATTTCCACAATGGTAGATGACATATTACAGGTATGTGCAGTTTTGTCTGTTGTTGTGGAGCGTAATGCACACATCACTCACAAGTTGATTGGTCACAAATATCGGTTACACGCACACACACGCCTGATAGTTGTGAACACGCACCTTTACACATGATAGAGAGAGAGAGATCCTTTACTTTCTTACAGGCAAAAAGAGTGTTTCTTATACTTTTGATCAAAAAAGATTGTTTACATATCCACAAAAAGAGTCCTTTACTTTACTTATCAGAGCAAAAAGAGTTTTTGTTTCAAGGTCTGTTGGTTGTCGGAGACCCACAAGAGTTACTTTATCAAGATGCAAAAAATATTCTTTTTGTTAGCATCTGTGACTTAGGCTTTGTAAATTTGGTTTGTCATTTCAGAATACCTAGTTTGATTCTAACTATCAGCAGTTCAGCAGGGACTGCTTTGCACTGATTTCAACAATGGTATGAAGAGCCAATCAGCCTCGAGCAGGTACCAGATGCAGTCCTGGAAAGTAAAGGTGGTCAGCGTAATGCTGACCACATCACTCACCAAGTGTTGATTGGTCTATAAAATATCGGTCTAGCCCTATATGCCCAGTACGCCTGATAGTGTGAAAAAGGGTCCTTTACTTTACTTATCAAGAGCAAAAAGAGTCCTTTACTTTACTTATCAAGAGCAAAAAGAGTCCTTTACTTTACTTATCAAGAGCAAAAAGAGTCCTTTACTTTACTTATCAAGAGCAAAAAGAGTCCTTTACTTTACTTATCAAGAGCAAAAAGAGTCCTTTACTTTACTTATCAAGAGCAAAAAGAGTCCTTTACTTTACTTATCAAGAGCAAAAAGAGTCCTTTACTTATCAAGAGCAAAAAGAGTCCTTTACTTATCAAGAGCAAAAAGAGTCCTTTACTTATCAAGAGCAAAAAGAGTCCTTTACTTATCAAGAGCAAAAAGAGTCCTTTACTTTACTTATCAAGAGCAAAAAGAGTCCTTCGCTTTACTTATCAAGAGCCAATCAGTCTATAAGCAGGGGCAAACGGCTGAATATTAAGTTCTCTTGTAGCATCATAAACAGCAAAAACAAATTGCTTGGATTGGTTCTGCAACCTCCATGAAACTACCTTTTTTTTTAAGCTCCACTTTATATTAGTTGAAAATATTTTTTCTTGTAATTTTCAAATTTTTTTCTGAATGTGAAAATGAATGCTTTTCTACAGCTGGAGAAACACTTCTGTCTGACATACGAGTCTTCTATGACCAGACTGTTCCGTGAGGGCAGGACGGAGACAGTCAGGTCTTGCACACAGGACACCTGCAACTTTGTCAAGGCTGTTGAAGAAGGAAGACCGGTAAGTCAGCAACTGTTGTTTGTGTGAAAACCAAATTGTATTGCTGTATAACTGTCCAATGGCATAAGGGAGCTCGCGGTGTTGAAGTGGTCAAGCCGTTTGCCTCGCACTTTGAAGGTCGTGGGTTCCTTTCATATCAGTGCCGTTGAGTTCACGAGTGTAATTTTTATGGAGATCCCTGAGGATCATCGTCGTAGCTACAGAGGTCGTGCTCTGTGTGACTTTCTCGGCAGGTAGCTAGTTGTTCTGTGAAGATGGAGCCATATGGGATAAAACCCGGCACAATGAAGTTGATCCTGTCACCTTACTTTACCGATGACATAAAAGACAGGTTATGAATATCCCCCCTATGTGTTCCGGGGTCCTATTTTAGGGGCAGAGTAGACCCACTACTTTCTGAACATCATGTCATAAAAGTGGATTAATTAGAGATGTTTCTAATGGTCAGCATGAATCTGCTCAAGAGGCAAGGTACCAACAGTCTGCATACAAGTCAGCCAGATCTGTGAAACTGAAGTGTGCCCAAAACTCAAGTTCTGGAACAAGACTAAAGTTGACCCCCCCCCCCCCCTAGAAGAACTATTCGTCTGAGTTTATAGCTCGTGAACACTAGGAAGAAAGGAGGTTATGACTAGATTTCATCCCAGTATTACACAACACACTGTTCTTCCACAGAACACAGAGTGTATCAAACTATTACAAAAGGCAGCAGAATTCCACCAGAAACTCTATCGGGACTCCATGACCGGCAAAGGTGTTGACCGACATCTCTTCTGCCTGTATGTGGTGTCCAAATACCTGGGCGTGGACTCACCTTTTCTGGCTAAAGCTCTCAGTGACCCCTGGAAGTTGTCCACTAGCCAGGTGAGTACTACTGATGCATTGCAGAAGTGTTCATGTTCAGCTTGAGTTAGTTTTGCATTGGTATCCTTGGCAGAGAATGCAAAGAATTCTCTAATGGAAGGGAATTGAAGAACATAGGGATGATTACTGCCAAACTGCTGCTGTTTCTTTCATAATTCCCAGCCCTTGAGATTTACTGCTGCAGATATCACCATCCTCCATTCATCTCTGTGATTGACCTTCTCTTTCTTGTTGATAACATGAAGATTTTGTAGGTCTATCTAATTATTATTTTCACCCTGTTTTATTTTTTGTGTGGTCTGCCTCGAGGTCTGCTTCCAAATCTTTTTTGTACGCTGTTTCTGGCTCTCATTTATTTGGCCTTCTCTCTACATGTATAACATTGCAGTCTCGTGGTGCTAGTAGTTAATGCTGATTTAAACAGATTAAGAATTTTGTTGTTGCTTCTCATTCTCCATTTTCCAGTTTTTAATTTTTTTTTTAATTTGTTAAATGTGTCCAAAGATTCATTATAAAACTTTTTTTTTTAGTGGTGCTCCACATTACAAAGCCATATAGGACACTTGATCCTATCTGTGTTCTAATTATGGTAATCTTTGGATTTATTTTTGTAGCTAAGTGTTCTTGGTATTTTGTTCGGTGGTTGAAATGTTCATTTGTGTCTGTCTCTTTCCTTTCACTGACCTCCTTAGTTGTATTCTGTCTCTGTTTGCTCATTGTAACAAGATGGTCATGTCTTCTTACCAGATGGCACAGTGATCCTCTCTCCCTCTTCCTTCATCTCTATTTACTCCTCATTCCCTCTCTATAATCTGTATATCTCCTGCTCTATCCCTCTCTTTCCTCCTTTCTCTTTCTATATCACCCCCATTTCCCCCCCCCCTCTCTCTCTCTCTCTCTCGCTCTCTCTCTCTGTGTCTCTCATTATCTGCTTTATATTTTCAATGCCCCATCATTGGTTTAGTTTCTCAAGAATCACTGTGATTGAATACACACATCTCCATCAGTGCTGTCAAGTTTTTCTACTTTAAACAAGTTGAATTTATGGGACTGTAAATTATCAAAAGAATAAAAAAAACATTCTAAGATAATGCTAATGACTCGAAGTTGTTAGCAGAAAGTGAGCAGGAGTTACAAGACTTATTGGATTAAGATTTTTAAAAAAAGGTTCAGTGCTGTATATGAAGTATTATGGGCTGAGTGGTTAAAAACGCCAGGTTCTCATCAGGAGATCCAGGTTCAAATCCTTGGTAAGGTGTTGCAATTTTCTTTCAAGTGCAAAAATAGAATCCTAACCTACACAGTCCATTGTGATGAAACTAGCCATGTGACCCTAAATTCCCAGACTGAAGATGCACCCGGTCCTTCATCGTCCGATGAAAGCAGTACCTTTTTGTGGTCATGTGATGAGAAGGAGAAATCTGGAGTACACCATGACAGTAGGAAAGTTGGAGGGAAGGAGAGGCAGATGGAGACCTAGAGAAAAGATATGTTGACATCATGGCATGGAGGATCATCTGTATCAGAGTTGATTGAAAGTACACGAGACAGAAGGTTGTGGATAGACATGACTACCAATGCCACACAGCATGGACTTTTAAGGAGAAGAAGTGGAAAGATGTTGAATATTAACATCTGTAGTAGAAAGATATTGAATATTAACACCTGTAGTGGAAAGTTATTAAATATTACCACCTTTAGTGGAAAGTTATTGAATATTAACACCTGTAGTGGAAAGCTGTTGAATATTAACACTTGTAGTGGAAAGTTATTAAATATTAACACCTGTAGTGGAAAGTTATTAAATATTAACACTTGTAGTGGAAAGACCTCAACTACGATATAAAGATGTGTGCAAGCGGGACATGATTTGTACAGGTATTGAGGTATACTCATGGGAACAAAATGCCATGAACCGTATTGTGTGGAAAGGGCATATCAGGAAGGGAATGAGACTGAAGAAAGAAATGATTGCAGAAAGGATGAGAGCTGAGCGTCTGAAAAGAAACAGATTAAACACAAATGTTGACAACAATGGTCCTGAAATCCCATGCTATCATTGTGGAAGACTTTTCTTGACACGGGCGGGCCTTGCTAGTCACACTTGCCATCGCCATGGGCTGTGAGTCTCATGCCTCCTCATGACGCAATATAACACTATCGTCTGGAAAGATGGAAAGGTGCCAATGAGTGAATGAATGAGTGGAAAGTTATTGAATGTTAATGCCTGCAGTAGGGACGTTGAAAATGGTCAAGTGTGAAATAGATGCAGTAGTAAATTATTGGCTGGCTTTTGAAGGCCTGACGAAATACTTTACATGTGATTTGTGTTGCAGACTCCTCACCAGCAGACAGACAAATTGGATCTTGACAAGCATCCAGATCGTATCTGTGGCGGAGGTGGTTTTGGTCCAGTAAGTTTGTCATTTCTTAATTTCCCTTATCTTCTTGTTCTAATTCCAAGTTCATTCTCATTTTATTCACTGCAGTCTCTGATTCTCTTCTCCATGTACTAGCTGAAAGATGGTAAGCCATCAGACTCTTTTTTGGCTATCTGTACTGCTTCAGATCTCTTCTAGGGGTGTGCAGGTGTAAGAGGACATGAACAAGCTGATAGGCTTGCAGATGAGGCTACTGTGAGAGCAGATGAGCAATGGATGAGACTGATATGCTGAATACTGTGATAAATAAGAAGTTTGTGAGAATCAAGTGATGACTGTGAATCTGCAACCATAATCGGACTGCAGCCAGACAAGAGTACTATGCAGGAAGCTAAATAAGAACGAACGAACGAGCAAACTTTATTTTCAAAGGGTCACAAATTAGGCACGCAGGCCTGTCTTACATTCGGCCCTTCTAAACTCCTATATTTCACACAGCAGTTGTATTTCATCAATAAAGCATGTTATGTTTCATGTAATAGGCATATTATGAATATCAAGTCAAAACAAAAGCATGGGTGCTAAAATACTTGGGCACGCTCGCACGTGAACACACACACACATACACACACAAACCCATTCACTCACTTACACAGACACACATAGGCACCTAATTCACACATACATCCACATACATACAAACAAACACACACATGTGTACACACACACATACATACATACATACATACATACATACATACATACATTCATACATACATACATACATACATACATACATACATACATACATACATACATACATACATACATACATACATACATACATACATACATACATACATACATACATACATACATACATACAATACATACATACATACATACATACATACATACATACATACATACATACATACATACATACATACATACATACATACATACATACATACATACATACATACATACATACATACATACATACATACATACATACATACATACATACATACATACATACATACATACATACATACATACATACATACATACATACATACATACATACATACATACATACATACATACATACATACATACATACATACATACATACATACATACATACATACATACATACATACATACATACATACATACATACATACATACATACATACATACATACATACATACATACATACATACATACATACATACATACATACATACATACATACATACATACATACATACATACATACATACATACATACATACATACATACATACATACATACATACATACATACATACATACATACATACATACATACATACATACATACATACATACATACATACATACATACATACATACATACATACATACATACATACATACATACATACATACATACATACATACATACATACATACATACATACATACATTCATTCATTCATTCATTCATTCATTCATTCATTCATTCATTCATTCATTCATTCATTCATTCATTCATTCATTCATTCATTCATTCATTCATTCATTCATTCATTCATTCATTCATTCATTCATTCATTCATTCATTCATTCATTCATACATACAT